GGGGGTGTGTGGAGGGATTGTAGCGTTAGGGTAAACAAAGGGTCTCAGAGAGAATTCAACAAAACAGAAACACAACTTTCTGTGACGAAAATAAAAAACATGAGTCTTTCACACCGGCGGCAATATATTGTTCTGCTTTGATGCAGAGTTAAATGCAAACGGAATTGTCAAAGTTTGTGATATAATTTTAAGGAGAAATGTGGACGTCATAGACAAGTTGCCACCTGACGCAGTGTCATTATTTTTTTTTAAAGAAAAAAAGTGGGTGGAGGTGGGAAACGGTCGTTTGTACAGGTGATTGCCTTATTATAGGTTGTGGTCGTTAGAGCAGGTTCGACTGGATTATTCCAGGATGGGTTTCATTAGGCTCCATAGACATACTATTTAAAAAGCTAAGGAACAAAAAACCAAAGGCATCTGCTGTTAGATCAAGCGTTTTTGACAGGAAAGTTGTGAATGGAATCTTGCGTTCGAGGATCAATATTTGCTGCTGAATGAAACTTCATTAAACGGAAAATAGTCTTTGGCATTTGACATGAACAGTGCTTATTCAATATGTGTCCGGCATACGCTCTTGATTTAACACATATGATGATTAAATCTCTTCTCTCACTCCAAGCTTTAAAGGATAGACAATCCGAGAAAAAAATTCGAATTCATTTGAAAACATACCTTAAAAAATACCATCTTGAAAGTTTATCCTTCTGACTTATAGTACTCTTATATTTATTATTTTCAATATTTGGGGTGCATGCTGTCACCAATAGTGCTGCGAGGGTATTAATATTTGTTTAAGTATTAGCGCTAAACAAAAAGCACGTATTTAAATAATTATTTATGTCAATGTATAGTACTTTAATATGAAGGTTGTGTATCTCGCGGAAATCTGCATAGTGCGAAGTGGGAGCTACAGCCTAATTTCTCTTTTTGAAAATATGATTCTTCTAGTCCTTCCTCTCCTTTTTTTCCTTCTTCTTTTTCTTCTTCTTCTTCTTCTTCTTCTTCTTCTTCATCTTCTTCTTTTTCTTCTTCTTCTTCTTCTTCTTCTTCTTCTTCTTCTTCTTCTTCTTCTTCTTCTTCTTCTTCTTCTTCTTCTTCTTCTTCTTCTTCTTCTTCTTCTTCTTCGTCTCCTTCTTCTTCTTCTCCTTCTTCTTCTTCTTCTTCTTCTTCTTCTTCTTCTTCTTCTTCTTCTTCTTCTTCTTCTTCTTCTTCTTCTTCTTCTTCTTCTTCTTCTTCTTCTTCTTCCTAATAACAAAAACAATAATAGTAATAATAATAAAAAAACCATAATAATTATTACAATAATAATGATGATTTAATTAATAATAGCAATAATAGCAATAATAGCAATAATAACAATAATAATAATAATAATAATTAATAATAATAATAGATTCTATGCCTAATAATGTTAATAACAAATTATTAATAATAATAAAAATAATAATAATAATAATAATAATAATAATAATAATAATAATAATAATAATAATAATAATAATAACTTGAGATCGAAGGAACCAGTCGGAAGAGCCGTAGAGAAAGTATAGATATGTATTGCAGAGAAAACTAGACGTAAAGGTGCCCCTAAGCCCAGGGTCCAGAACTCAATTTTGTTTTAGCTTTCGCAAGAGTATTGCGGCACTTGCAACTCAAAACTATCATATAAGTGACGAAGATTAGATATGTTACAGGAGAGTAACAGGGGAGAAGGAGGGAAGATAAGTGCGATATATGTTTTATAGGAAAGAAGGAGCAAATCACATCCGAACACCCACAACCATCCATGGTACAGAACTAGATCTATATAGAGTTGCACCTATTAGATCTAGTCAAACAAATTGAAAAGTAAAAAAGCACACCAAAAACAAAACAAAACAGAACAAAAAACTTAAAAAAACAAACATCTAAACAACTTAATTAACCTCAGCATTGTGCCAGTAAGACGCTATAACTCACCTGGAGGTCCCATGAAGATCTGCTACTTCCTTGTGCACATAATCCATCAACAAGGAACGTTTGTTGCAATCAAAGTCAAAGTTACTCCAAAACAACCAAAAGTAATAATAGCGCCAACGACTCACTCCAAGTGGATGAAAAAAGGCTGCAGCAAATAGATCTATACACAAAAAAGTAATAAACAAAAGTAGCTTTAGTCTTAGAAGAAACTTCTGTATCAGAATATAAAAAAAAAGAAAAGCGAATTAAACCAAACTATGCAATAAATAGCATAATGTGAATTGAAAAGAGAAACTTGGGAACAATAGTAAGATAGAAGAGGGGGGAAATGACAAAATGTGATGATCTACAAGACAAATTATGCAATCGGCGTCATGGTAGTTTCCCGGTATGACAGGCCAGACTCGGCCACCACCACTATGATGTAAGATGTGAGTATCAGAAGCCTTTGCTTCGCTTCCCGTCCTCTCCGCGGCACGACACGACTGCGGGTGTGGATTCCTCCCTCTCCCTCTCTCTCCCCCTCTCTCCCCCTCTCTCTCTCTCTCTTTCTCACTCTCTCACTCTGTAGAGACGTTCGCCGCGCGTGTGTGCGTGTGTGTGTGTCGGCATTGGCATGGTAGTGTTCGTTGGGGTAACAGCTTTGCAACACCGCATGTCTGGGGGGGGGGGGGGGGTGGGGGGGTGGGGGGGGGAATTTGTCCGGGGGGGGGGAATGAGGGGAATTTCGGAAATGCGGGAAAGGGGGTGGGGGTGGGAATTGAGGAAGGAGGTGAAAGGGTGAGTTGGGGGTGTCAAGGTGGAAGTGAGGGAAAGGGGTGGGGGGGGGGGGAAGAAAAAAAAGGAGGAGGAGGAGGAGAGGGTGAAAAGGATGGGGAGGTGGGAGGGGGGAAGGTGGTATTTTTGTAACTTTTTTTTCCTACTGGTGAGTGTAGCAAGACCACCACTCTCACCACAGACCTGTGGAAGAAAAACCCCATCTCGTCTTATAGGCCTACATGTGTGCAAATACCGACAAGTAAACAAAGTTATTATTATTACTATCTTCTCCCCCCCCCCCAAAAAAAAAAAAAAAAAAAAACCAACAACAACAAAAAACAAAAAACCACCCTCTCGAGGCTATTTATAGACAAGTGTGAAACAGGCCGACTTTTTCTTTCAGTGTATGAATAGACATAAACAATCTGCATTGGCGCTATTATAGTGTTGTATGAAAAGGTCAAGGACATTTACAGTGTCCTGAGTGGTGAAGCCAATGACCTGGGAAAAATTAAGGTACTTTTTTTATAAGTGTTTTACGGCGCTTGCAACTGCAGAAGGTCATATCAGAGAGTTTACAGTAATACTATTACTGTAAATCCTCTCTGGTCATATGAGCGCACGGGCTGGACACATTAAACTTGTTCGGTTGGTAGGAAATCTTGAAGTAGCGGCCGAAGCCTGCTCATATCGATTTTAGATCACCAAGGAATATTTAACGTGCGCAACTTGCACACGAGCCTTCCGAGATTTTTCGCCTTTGTTCGAAAAGGCTAGGTGTAGATCTTTCCTACCAGAAGATCAGGGATGTGGCTGAAAGACAGCAGAAAGAAGGAGCCAAGGACAAGCAGTAGAAAGGCAGCAGAAAGAAGGAGCCAAGGACAAGCAGTAGAAAGACAGCAGGAAGAAGGAGCCAAGGACAAGCAGTAGAAAGGCAGCAGGAAGAGTCGGGAACCCAGAGGAGGGGCAAAGGAGGTTAAGGGCTGGGGACAGAAATTGGAGGCGAGAGCAGAGGACAAACCATTGTTTGAGAGCAGGATAGGAGGTGAAAAAAGACAAGTTTAGTGAATTTTTTCGTCGCTACCCGGATTCTAACCCGGGACCTTTCAATGAGAGACCAACACCTTAACCTTTAGGCCACGAGAGCCCCCCCCCCCCCCCCTTTTATGAGATTAACAACGCTTTGCTGACAATGTGCATGCTCTCTGCATTAAACATGATGATGATGATGGCAAGAAGAATTAATGAAAGCCTATACACAGAGACAATCAGTGTCTCCATTGTGACTTCCTTCTTGGTCCCACCTTGAAGGAACAACGTCTCGGACAAAGATTTGAACTCGAGAAGACAGTAAACCCTCCACAAACAAGGCAGTCGGGTGCCTGGACAAAGTCAGGTAAGAAGGATCTCGTAGTCTAGGAGTTAGGTGCTTTTCTCTCATCCAATAGGACTGGGTTCGAGTCCGGATAGCGACATAAATTTAACATTTTTCTCTAAATTTTTCTCCTTTCACACCCTTTCCTGCTCTCTAACAATGTTCTGTCGTCTGCTTTCGTCTCTACTTTCTGGTCTCCCCCCCTTATCCCCTTCGCTCCTCCTCTTGGCTCCTGACTCTTTCTGTAGCCTTTTTTACTTCTATTCCTTGGATCCTTCTTAAAGCTGTCTTTCAGCCACACCCCTGATCTTATGGTAGGAAAGATCTACACCTTTCCTTCTCGAACAAGGGCGAAAAATCTCAGAGGTCCCTTTGCAAGATGCGCTGGTTAAAGATCCCTTGGTGATTCAAAATCGATAAGAGTAGGCTTCGGCCACCACAAGGGCAAAATTCAAAATTTCCTACCAACTGAAAAATGTTTAATGTGTCCTGGACGTTCATAACAGTATGACCGTTACGTATTCTGCGCGATCACGTAAAACACTTTTTTTAAAGAAAAAGAAAGAAAAAAAAACCCACCTTCGTCAAGACAATCGGCGGTCGGTGACGTAGAATAAACGCATCAATAATGTGCTTTGATAACGGTGGTGGTCGTGTTGAATAGAACGTAAGATACAAGTGTACTGGGCCAAAATTGACTCATTTATTTTGCTTTCAAATGGTAGGTTTCTTTTTTTTTTATAAATGTGGGAAATTTACTTATCAAATGGACTCGTACTATACGAGTCGTTTATTAAATAAAATTGCTGAGAAGCAAAATGGTCATCATTGACAGAGTGATGTATAAATGTAAGTCGGACAGTTTAATCAATAGATAGGAATGCCTCGGGAATATAGTAAGTTCTACTAGAGAGTTTATACAGTATTGCTGTAAACACTCTCTGGTTCTGCATAGCTTGCAAAAAGAGATGTCGTCAGTAAAATGTTCACTTGTTTTATTGCTAGAAACTAGAAAGGAATAAAAATACTTTTCAGCAGAGAGGAAAACTTTTGTATTCTTCTATAAAGTGTCTGCATCGTGTACCTTTATTTGCTTTTTATGATTTAGATAGTTATAATCTGAGCTTCGACAAATATATTTCGAATATATGTAAACAATACTACAAATTATACAAGTAAGGAAACTTCAAAAAAAAAAACACACAAAAAAAATCAATCAAACAAATAAACACAAAACAAATCAAAACAAACTATAAATAAACCCTCAAAACAAATTTCACTAGTACATTAGAACAGCGGGGTGGCAAAAGGGAGACAAGTGAACAGCTTTAACCTTATCATGCCCAGCGTCCCAAGAACTGGACAAACGTTTTGACTGTCTGGCTTCAACTCAGGATGCTTACAGACGTTTGTGTTGTTTAAATCAGTTTCCACTAAGCATGGAGACTGTAATAATCAAAACAGAAATCAGTTTTTAAAAATATTGAAAATTATTGTATCTATTGATCATCCGCCACAAAGATAAGAAAAGATAATATTTATTATGATAAGATAAGATTAATGTTTATTATCCAGACCCTGGTTCATTGGTTTGGTGTTTTACCACACACACACACACTCCTTCTCTCTCTCTCTCTCTCTCTCTCTCTCTCTCTCTCTCTCTCTCTCACACACACACACACACACACACATACATTCATACCGATATACACAACTTCGAAATCGAGTAAGTTCTACAACTCCTCTTTGGATATTAAAGGTCAATAATGGATTTATGAAGGACGAACTATTTTCACTGTTAGTAACTGAAATCTCATTAAAACCGAATATTGCTCCTCAATGAGTCAGTTGTCAGCAGTGACAGTTGAAGACTCCATTTAGTAAATGTTCAATCCTAAGTCTAACTGGCTGCCTAATCATGCAGAACTCAAGTGTCTAACAAATGTACATATTACTCCAGGTAAGCTGCCAACCTTTCGATTTTTTTTTCAGACCACTGTATTTTATAGGGATTTTAATCGATTCCAAGTACAGGCGTTTCGATAAGGTTTAAAAATTAATCTTAGAAAGCTCACATGACAAACTTTCAAAACTTCTGGATGGTTTTATATAATATTTAAAAAGTCACCAAAAATAGGGGTTATAAGTTCAATGTATGTACTAGAAATTATCTTTTATCTTCGAAACTTGAAATTGCATGTAAAGTACTACAAAGAAATCAAGGACACTGGCAAAGAAATGAAATACTCTAAGGAAGAAATGAAAGACACTAACAAAGAAAGTAAAGTTGAAACGCTTGTCGTGTTAAACCTCAGACTTCTGAACTAGATCTAATTCCTTGTGACTTCTTTTTATTTCTTCTTCTTTGCTCCCCTTGCTGGTTCTTCAACCTGTAATGCAACATAATTTTGCGCCTGCGACAGTCTTTTTCTACTACTTCCTAGGATCTCTTGCAGTCCAGATTAAGACTGCCACATTACTATTTTAAAAGGTCTATATTTTTTATACCGACTGGGGTATTTTCGGCTTTGGTAGGTATTAATTTTGAATTTGGCCGGATGGCGGCTACTGCGTACTCCTATCGATTTTAGAATCAAAAGCGTACGTAACTTGGAGTTGCATGTGGGACTTCCGAGATTTTTCACCTTTATTCGAGAAGGCTTGGTGTTCGTCGATCTTACCTACATATCTACTCTAAGATCAGGGGTTTCGCTGAAAGGCAACAGTAAGAAGGAGCTAGGAATAGCAGTAAGAACAGTCAAGAGTGAGGGAAAGATCAGTAGAGAGGAAGTCAAAGGAGGGGATGGGCGAGGGTGAAGAGGAAAGAAGACACGGAGCACGACTGAGAACAAGAAAATAGGACAAAGGAGAACATTTCTAATCTGAATGCTTTCTTTTGTCGTTGCCGGCAGGTTTCGACCCAGGGAGCCTTTGACTGAGAAGGGAACACTGTACCTCCAAGACCGGAAGAGCCTCCTTCTTTATAACCAAAGTCGTCAACCAGCCTGCTTAAATAGACTCACTAAAACTGAACTGAGTAATAATAATAATGATATAGTATGGTATTTATATAGTGTTCTTAGGAGACTGCTAAGAGTGTCGTGGAAGGAAAATAAATCAAATGAAGCAGTGCTTGATGAAGCCCACGTGGGACGCTCAATGTTAAAAACAATCAGGAAACGACAAATGCAATTTTTGGGACACCTGAACAGACATAAGGGTCTTGAACATCTAGCTCTCACTGGCAAAATAGAGGGCAAACGAGGCAGGGGTAGGCCCAGAACAACATACTTAAGGAACCTAAACAATAAATGGGTAACAGGGAAAGATCAGGGAAACGTAGC